GCAAATATTTATCTGCGAAGACCAAAACAAACTGGTCTTTCCGCAGTCCTTTCATCGCAATCGGCTTCATCTATACACAAAAGGATTTTAATTCATATCTCTCGTGAGTGTAGTTCTGTATTTTTACCAATACAGAGTCTACTGTACATCTCATACATTAGTACATTAACAGTCCGTATCGGTTTGTCAAGCTCAAACCCGAGTACTACATGTGCTTTGGCTATCTACGCCAATGTTTGATCGCCATCTGGTGTCGTTAAGAAAGCTCACATCCGTGTCAAATGCCGTAGTTTTGCTAAACTCCGAAGCACATTTTAAAAACTGAAATCGGAAATGAAACGCATGCAAAAACCTAGAATGTGCTATTTTCTCTTCTTTTGAATGCTTCTTTTGAATACTAAACGACCAAATATGAAATAATCTTAATAACTGCAGTATAATGACATTTATCATCTAGCTGTTTTGCTCTGCACGCCCATTACCACCACCTAGTGGAAAAACGTTATATTGCACCTTAAAAAGCATTAATTTATGCTTCGCTTTTCATTTTATATATGCACTTACAACCAGACGTGATTTCAGAGCTGATCGTTCCTTATTGTATTCATCACAAATTTAAATTAAATTCTTTTAAAGTGCAAACGACACTGGAAATTAGTTGGTGGTGGCGAGCTTGATATTATAAAAGGGTTGTGCTTGTAAGTCACAGTTCTGTTGTCATCGACGTGTACAATAAATTGGTAAGTAACGTAAAATCATCGCTGATCGAAGTTCGGATGGAATTATCGCTTGGAAACTGGTACGAAGTAACAGGTGCAATTGTGAAAAAGTAACGAATAAAATTACATTTTTTCTTTGAACATGCGGGCATAAAATCTTAACTATATATATTAAATCCTTGCATACTCGGATTTTGACCAATTTAGTCAGTTGCTGGTTCAGTTAAGTCAAAAATGGACTGTATTATTCTCAAGTGATACTACAGTTTGTGGGCATTACGTGTCACCTTACATGAATGTGGCAGCAAGCCTTGTGGTGTGTTATTTGAGATAACTCCAGTCCATATAAAACACCCATCAGTTTATTTTGTCATGTTATTTTTTATCTGTCACTGAGGAGTAAATCACAGGGTGCTGATGAACTGTATATCTACGTGATTGTCCCTGTAAACTAAAAAATTATCAGTATGATCTTTTACATCTGTATGTATTATACTTTAGTTTTGTTTTTGTGCAGATTACAGTAAATTCTCCTTTCTCAGCTGATTTATGGAAAGAATCGACCCACAGTTTAAGTTTTCTGACTGGTATTTGGGAGGATATACTGTAAATTCACATTTCTTTGTATATGCTGCATAAATCTCTGCCTGAAATTCCCTTTATGCATCTCCCACACCCCTCTTGCCACCCCACCTTTGAAGCAGCCACTACACCCTTGCAGCACCTCCCAGATTCATTCCTTGTGGTGGTTCTGTCAAGCTCATATGTAGGGTTAGGCTACCATTCCCTCAGCTAGGCAAGTTACACCAAACAAACCTCTAATACAGCCATCAATTTTCTTACTATCCATCCATTTTCTAACTGCGGGGTAGCTGGAGCCTATCCCAGCTGGCAATGAGCACAAGGCAGGGTATACCCTGGACAGGATGCCAGTCCATCACAGGGCACACACTGACACAGTCAAGCACTAGGGCCATTACCAATTAGCCTATCCATATACAGTATCTTGTAGTATGACACTGGGAGGAAACTGGAGCACCCAGAGGAAACCCCCATGAGCACAAGGAGAACATACAAACTCCACACAGACAGTACCTCAGGTCCAGAATTGAACCCAGGGCCCCACTACTGCGAGACAGCAATGCTGACCACTGCATCACCATGCTGCCTGTTACACACTTCCTTAATTCTCAGAAAGGACCCCAAAGAGGATACCAATATCCTTTATTTCTTGGAAAATAATAGTGGGATTTTGAGAGGGCAAAGTCTGTCAGGCTACAACACTTTATACCTTGCAACATCAATTGATAGCCTTTTAGGAAAATTATAGAAATGCCCCAAGACTTTTAGGTCATATCCTTAAGGTCAGTACCAGACGTTACTTTCTTTTAAAGAAACAGGTGCCAGAATGTTTAAGCAACCATAAAACCATTTAAATGTACAAATGTTTCCTTCATTTTTAGTTAAATAACCAGCTGAATGTGAAGCAAAGGTAGTACCAGCTCAGCATAAGAGCTGCGCCACCCCTGCACTGGGACTATTGAATGTAGGTTTGATGTAGAGGTGTTGGCACCTGAAGACAGGTACATTTTGATATTCAGGACAGCATTAACAAATAGCACAATGTCAGGTATATGAAACACATGGCCCCAGTTCATGACTTCACGACTTGCATTCATTGTCCAATCTTATTAAACCTATAGAATTCTAATATGTGAGACCTGCCAGGTAATATGTTCATATTTTCAGCCTGTCCTTCCTCTGGCATTCTTAAGTCAGTTTCACTTCTTCGTTTACTAATGCTATTCCTTAGTGGAGCCTGGTAAAGAAGCACTGTTTGTTTGTTTACCTAATAAAAGACAAATATTATTTGAAGAAGGAAAAACAGAATACTAATGCACTCAACTGGCCATGGAGTGGCCATGGAGACACCACAGACTGATGACGTTTTTTAAGAACATGCAATAAGTCACCTTATGATAATCCCAAGATAGAACAAAGAATAAAAGCAGCATTTTATTCTAGTTTCTCGAAAAAGTAGTATATGCCGATGATGATGTAAAAAATAAAGCTTTTGGTAGTAATAATAATAATAATTGTTTACACTTATATAGCGCTTTTCTGGACACTCCACTCAGAGCGCTTTACAGGTAATGGGGAATCCCACTACCGCCACCAATGTGCAGCATCCACCTGGATGATGCGACGGCAGCCATAGTGCACCAGAACGCTCACCACACATCAGCTATCAGTGGGGAGGAGAGTAGTGGTAGTGTATATTCTAATGTAAAATAAGCTCACAGTTGTCCTAGAACATCACTTTTGCGTCCTGGGTATTCTGACCTGGGATGCTTTCTCAGTGGAATTTGCATGTTCCTCTCATAACAGCAAAGGTTTTCACAGGGTGCTCCAGTTTCCTTCCACAGTTCAAGGACGTCAGGCTGGTCAGGTTAATTGTCATCCTTTAATTGGCCCCTGTGTCTGTTTGTGAGTTCATTCACAATTGTTTGTGTGCCCTGTGTTGAATTGGCATCCCATCATAGCACACAACTGTACGAATTTGAGATATGAGTGACAAATGAACATATCGGTATGTCTTGTAGTATATGTGTGGGTGGAAAC